CCCACTTTAGAGCTCATGTTTTAGATTGTTTTATAAATTACCTTTCCTTTGCGGTTTTACAAAACATTATGTACTTGCTATACACGCAAATACACGACCCAATCGTAACAATAAATAAATAACTGGTAAATATCCTATCACGCATATATTCTGGACATTCTTTTGAAATTTAATTAGTTATTCACTGATTCATTAGGTCAAAACCGACATACATAATAACACTTATTAAATTAACAGTGTAAATTCATTGTGTTGTTGTGAAACAAGCCATTACATTATTATAAATTTAAAACAACGTGGATCAACATAACACCTATCACATATTATTATTGTCTCATGGATTGTCCTCCTAAATATATTTACCCAATTTGTGTGGTTCTACAAAACGTTATGTAGGTACTTGCTATTACAATAAATAACAAATAGATATAAATAACTCCTAAATAGAGTTAAAGAATCACAGTTTCGTATAGATTCATAGTTTTGATTTCACAGTATATAATAATATACTTAATAACTAATAGCACTTACAATATTACAGCCGATCTTAGAGTTAATATTTTCTGTACATTATTTCATAAATTTCTTTAGCGGTTCTACAAATTGTGTACACGCAACACAAACGTATCTCCATAAACCAACTCTCAGCTACTAACAGACCTTTGGCTCAGCAATTAATTTAAAATTCATTATATTTCTCAAGGTTCGTCTCACTCGGATCCCATGTTGTATCCGCTGTTCTTCCCGTACGGAGAGGCCGGTTGGCATAACGAGATGTTGCAAGAGGGGCCCTCGACAAAATAACGTCCGCAGTCGAAACTCTATAAGTGAGTTTGCGTGCTACCACGTGGCCATTCGATACGAGGGAAATAACGACACGAGGCACCAACGGTTCAGTTCGATACATCAGGGCCGGTCCTTGTTTCACCAGTTCCTGTGCGACCACAGATGGAAACCAACAATCTGAACTACATACGTGAGCATCAGGCAGAAATCTTTGCCGAAGCGTATCAAGGGTTGGTGGACCATGTGAACGAACGTCTCATCATCGATCCTATGACGGTCGGCCGTAGGGTCATTTTACCGTCGACGTTCGTGGGCAGCGACCGATACAACAAGATGTGTTATCAACACGCCATGGCCATGGTCCGCAGCAAAGGGAAGCCCGACCTGTTCATAACGTTTACGTGCAATCCAAGGTGGCCGGAGATCACGGAAAACCTGGCGGCTCACAGCCTCCCGAATGACAGGCCCGAACTGACGGCCAGGGTGTTCAACATGAAACTAAAGGAGCTACTAGGTGACCTAACTGTTAATCGTGTGTTTGGTAATGTCGCCGCTTACGTATATACTATTGAGTTTCAGAAACGCGGTCTGCCCCATGCGCACATACTGGTAATCCTGGAGGAGGATCATAAGTTCCGCACGGCGGCAGACGTCGACGACGTGGTTTGCGCCTTCTTGCCGGACCCGGAGACAGACAGGCGCTTACACGACTGCGTGCGGTCCCACATGATACACGGACCGTGTGGAACAGTCAACCCGAGGTGTCCGTGCATGGTGAACGGCAAATGTTCGAAAGATTTCCCGAAGGCGTACGCAGAGGAGACTGTGTACGTTGCGGAAGGCGGTTATCCGAGGTACCGCCGACCGGACGACGGCCGGACGGTACTTGTGGGAAGACGTGATGCGGTCGGTAACGGGTGTGTAGTGCCTTACAACCCTTACCTTCTGGCCAAGTACGACGCTCACATCAACGTCGAGATATGCACGTCCATAAAAAGTGTCATGTATATCTACAAGTATATATACAAGGGACACGACCGTGTGACGTTGGAGATTGAGCAGAACGCAGATGAAACTACAAGGTGAGTCTTAACCTTACACTACACTTAGCGATATAAACATAAGATAATATAATAGTATACATGTGTGTGGTATAGTGATAACTGATAATCATGGTGGATTGTATACGTTTATTTTGTGTGTTCAGCGTGTATGAATTATTTACTACTTTTTAGGGCAGTTGTATACATTCACCAATACCTCATATTATATATTATATTATATCATGTGGCTTGGTGCAAGAAGGGCCAATGTCATGTTTTGACAGTGTTCAGGAATTCAATCTTAAATTTTATTTCGGAACTCTAAACATTATATTTGTTTTTATTTCATTGTATGACTCTCATTTTGTTTTCAAATATAAATAATAAAATTACATTGTTTTTGACATTGGCCAAAAACTTAAATTTAAAATAAACACTTGTGAAAACATTTCTACATTTTAATAATAATATTCCATTGAGCATAATGTTAGTAATTTTCTACATTTATAAACTTTATCTAAATTGGTCCTACAGCGTAAGAGACATTGGCCCTTTTTTTTGTAACACAAGTAACATAAGCAAATTTTAACGACATTGACCCATCTTGCACCAAGCCACGGAATTATTTTATGTGTTGGTCATTATTTTTATTACATTTAATGCATTATTTAGTTCAAGCTGTGTATAATAAACACAATAAACATTCTATTGCATACAGTACTATAAATAAAAATATATAATTTATACATGTGTATGGTATAATGATTGTTATGGTGGATTTTATAATTTTTTTTAGTGTGTTCGGTGTGTATGAATTATTTACTACTTCATAGGGCAGTTGTATACATTCACCATTACCTTTAAGTTCTATACTTCAATATATATTATATTTATGTGTTGTTTAGGTATTATTATATTATGTACTTCTACAGAGAGTTCTATAGGTGGTCTACATTAGTACACAGTGGTACCTACATGCTATTGATAGATTTTTATTATATTTATTAAATTGAAAATTATTACAATATTTTATGCATGTGTCATTCTTAGCAGTGTGTCCAGTGTTTTTTAGGTTTTTAGGGTAGTGGTAAGCCTTTTATTTTTTTTTACTTTTGTATACTAGCTATATTATATACTTTACGTTTAATGTGTTGTTTAGGTATTATTATTATTATTATTATTTTTTTTTTTTTATTATATTTGTTCGGTGCCGACTCCGTTGGTGACAATATTTATTTTGATTACGGGTTTACGCCGATAATGCGATAAGGCGTAGAATGTTCTAGAAGACCCCACCGCCCGCCGCTCTATAGCGCGAACCGGCTTCCCCGAATAAAGGCCTACGGTCAATTAATTAGTCGTTCCGTGCCCACCGCCGTTGTCGGAGTCGAGTTCGTAACGTATTTACGCTTCGCTTCGCCCTTCAACTTTTAAATTTTGATTGCGGAATCAATGCGGTGTGGTGCATTTGCCATTTATAGTGGCATCTAATTTTGTATGGCGTTTTGAGTGCGAGCGGGCGACTCGGTTGTTCATATTTATTATAATTGGATCGTGCGTGGGTGCGAGGCTGCCGGACACCGAGAGTACGTCGAGATTCGGTGCCATCAGCCAGGAGCGTGGATTGCGGCATCAGAACGGGAGGCAGGCGTTGTTTGGAGGTGGTGGTCGTATCCCGTACGGACAGTCGAGCGGTCGGCGGCGGCAACTACTGGTAACGCGGTATCATAATAGTGATACGCGGTATATATTATCTATGTTATTATCATTAATATTTGTAAACATATTTACTTGTGATATTGTATCAATATTTATTATTTTGTACTATTGCCTTTGTGGCGAATAATACTATTATATTTAATTTTCTCGAATAACGAGTAACCCGTTATTATATTATATCGTAGGTGGGCGCCTACATCCCTATCTTGCACATATTATTGTGAATTATTAATTATTATTTTTCTATGTTGTGTGGTGTATTTCCATATAATACAGTCCACTTTTTGATATTTAAAATTCGCCGGTATGTTGTTAGTTATTTATTATTATTAATAACCTATACATTCTTTGTGGTGAAATAATTCTTAGAGTACCTAGGTACACGACGCAACAATATTCATTATTATTTTTTCATCTAATTCATTCAAGCGGAATAACACACGTTTGTTTATGGATTATTATTTTCATTGACATAAATTAATATTTCCTATACCTTTGCCATTCTTATATAATATTATTCGGTGATTTATACGCAGTCACACAGATAATATATTCTAGCTGATACAAGTTTTTTAGTTTCACTTTACATTTTATGCGTTATTTTCACAGTGCAAAATATAAATTGAACATAAATACATCAATTATATGCTAATAATTCCAACTCTGTGAATCATTTCAATTGTAACTTATATTAATTAATATTAATATTTAGCTACTCAAGACGTTTGTGTTTTACGCGTGCGCTACTACAACATTTATTTATCAAAACATATCATAATATAATATCGGTCACATATATTGTATGCCAAACTTTACAAAATTTACAATTTAACGGTTGTAGGGATTCTTCATAATGTCCATTATATTTTTCAATGTTAAAGTAAAGAACTGAAAGTGTTCATGCAATATTCAAAAATTAGTTCTTAGTATGGTTAAACGTTTCAAATCGCTTCACTTCAAAATAAATTAAAATTATTAAACATTGTAATATATTATTATATTGCAATGCAATGCTATGCGTCTACAGAATAAAAAATAAATAAATTATCATAATAATACAACACCAAACGGTATCATCTTATATTGAGCATTTGAGCCAGCCAATATATTGTTACTAATCTTTTCAATATTCCTTTTTAGGTACGTCAACTCGAGGTACGTCAGCCCGCCAGAAGCCGTCTGGCGATTGTTTTCGTACAAACTGCACGACAAAAGTCACACGGTCTTCAGGCTTCCCGTTCACCTGGAGGGTCGTCACAACGTGTATTTTCCGCCGGGCCAAGAAGAATTAGGCTCGTTTCACACTAATACGGTTCGATTCGGTTCGGTGCGTATTCGATTCGTTTTCGGTAGCGCCTAAAACGAATGAAAACTCTTCACACACACTCGGTTAGTATAAGGTTTGATTTCACGACCGAATCACCGAATACGCAGTCACTCACTTTTCCCACAATGCTCACTATGGAGAAAAGACAAATAGCTGCCATGTTATTTCTCTATAGAAGAATGAAAAAACGAAAGAGGAATAATCGGCTGCACTGGGTACACCCTATCCTCACCAAACGGGTGGAATTTGGTGCATTTTATACCCTTTTTCCAAAATTAAGGGAGCACGAAGACAAATTTTCAAATTATTTTAGGATGTCTACGACATCATTTGATGAATTACATTTGAAGTTAAAGGACTGTATTCAACGCCAAGATACATTTATGCGCGAATGTATTCAACCAGTTCAGATGTTAGCCATCACTTTGAGGTAAGTCAATAAGATCAATTATTAGAATGAACAATTAAACAGAAATACATTTATTTTGAAATAAAATAATATTTTGATAATTAAATTTTGAAATTACAAATAAATAACGAAATTAAATATTATACTTATATAATATAATATATTTGGTTACATATTTCAATTTAAATTAAATAAATAATCTGAACTATCATCGGAAACCGAATGGGAGCTGTAGCTAGGATTTGGGCTTGAAAGATAGTGGGCAGTTTTCTCATAGTATTGACCAGCGGATATTTTCGGTTCAGTTTGTAGCTGGGAAACTGAACTACTACATAAAGGTGGATGATGTTGGTTGTAGACCGGTTGTGTCTGCTGCTGATACTTCCGCTCCCTGATGTTCTTAACGATTTTCAATACCTCCATTTGAAAATCAATTGTATCAAATTCATTAAAATCTTCAAGAGAAGGGAGTAATCCTTTGAAAAATGAGAGGTGCCGATTTACTGGTTCTCTTAAGGCTGAAATCATTTCTAATTCAACAGGATCCATTTTTCGTTTCTTGGTAACGGGTTTTTTGAAAGGTGATTTAGGTTTTTCAGCCGCTCCATCACTCGATGTACTTGGAACTTGTTCCACAGGGTTCTCTCCTGTTTCAACCATGGCATCCTCATCACCACAATCGTCAATATTTTGTGACAAAGTGTCTTCTGTATTTCTTTCTTGGAATATTTTGTCAAGGAATTGCAACTGAGATGAATAAACGTAGGCTTTTACTTTTACCACCCCAGATCCCGATTTCTTAGCAGCCTTAGTTTTTCCTAATGATTTTCGGTACGAGTCTCTCACTTGCGTCCACTTTTTTAGAACATGTTTACCTACAAATAAGTATTGAAGTAACTAACTAATCGAAAAAATATATAATTTCACTATTCAATGTTTAGATGCGATATTTTTAATTCTATTTATAATTTTTTTATCATACTTATATTGTATTTATTGATTAATTTATGTTGTGTCGAAAAAAAATAAAGGCATAAAAACGTTGACTTAAAAAAAAAAATTAGAAATGTAAAAATGCATACATAGGTACAGGCGGTACAGCTATTTAATACAAACCAACATATGATATGAATATATAAAATATAAGTATTATATGTATTCCTCATTTATTTTTTATAAAGTATTAATCTAAAACAATTTTCGGTGAACATTTTTAATAAAAAAGTAATTTATTTTAATTTTAATTTTTCTAATTAAATTTTTTTTTTTTATCTATTTTAGGTACTTGGCTAGTGGTTGCTCTTTCGTGGATTTGCATTATACTTTTCTCCTCGGGGTTTCAACTATCAGCAAGATTGTTAGAGTAGTTTGCTGTGCTATCTGGTCAGTGCTACGATTAGAATGCATCCCAGAGCCAGATAAAGACAAATGGAAATCAATTTCCCAGAAATTCGAAACTCGCGCCAACTTTCCAAATTGTATTGGTGCAGTTGACGGTAAACACGTCAGAATAGTCCATCCCCTAAATTCGATGCATATAAATTATAAAGGATATTCATCTATAGTTCTGATGGCTGTAGCCGATGCAGATTACCGATTTGTGTACGCAAATATTGGAGCGTATGGAAAGGACTGCGATTCTAACGTTTTTCAAAAATGTCAATTGTGGAGATCTATTGTTAACGGCACCATGGATATACCTGAAGAAAAGTGTCTTCCAGGCTCGCAAGACAAAAAAATTCCTTATTATCTAGTAGGAGATGAGGCTTTTGGTTTACATAAGCATCTCCTAAAACCGTACGGTGGACATAGTTTAACAATCAAGAAGAGGATATTCAACTATCGGTTATCTAGAGCACGCAGGTTCGTGGAATGTACGTTTGGAATATTAAGCAACAAATGGAGAATCTTCCATCGTGCAATTAACTTAGATCCAGACTTTGCTACGGATATAGTGAAAGCTTGTGTAGTTTTACACAATTTCGTACGCGACCGAGACGGCTTTGAAACGGAAGATATGTTGTCTATTGCAGGACTTGAAAGTGACCCAGGAAATCCCCCAGGGGAAATGAGAAGAAATCAGGCAACAGCCTCAGCCAAAAATGTAAGAGATGTACTCAGTAATTACTTCATGACTGAGAATGGTTCAGTCCCTTGGCAGTTTTCAAAAATCTAAATATGTTTAATTATATTTTAATAAAAATAAAATGATATAAAATATAATACTGTATTTATTCATTTATATTGTATTCAATTTTAAAATTAAACTATTAAATATATTAATACGGATATTTGAAATTAAATAATATAAATAAAATAATAACTAATAAGAAATAACTACATAGTGCCCATAGTGGCTTATACTACTTAGTAGCATAAAGTACGGGCATAGTACTTTAGTAGTTAATGATGCAAATTATAATTATTTATAAATCAAACTATTAAAACCATTATTTTTCGTATAAACAGGATAAATATTATTAAGATATTAGTTTTAAGGGTTTCCCATAATATAATGTTTTTATTTTTCAGAAAATCAGTTAAAAATATAAACAATTATTTATAATGTTACATGCCAAAAATAGCTTATACTAAAATCCAATATAATTATAAATTTAGAAAGTACTCATAAAATATTTTAAATAATCTTAATACTCGACGGAAATAAAATATGCAATACCTACGTACCGATATCATTTTTTTTAGAGTCGTCAAAATCTTCGTAGCCGTCTATAATTTCCGTACAAACAGCTTTCCATGCTTCCAGCGTCTTAAATTTATCTTTATACTTTTCACTTGTTTTGTCCCACAGCACTACACGTGATTGGACTGATGTAATCAGCCGCTCAATATCAATGTCAAGTGAATCAGACATTGCCAAATGTAAATTACAAAATTTAAAATGAGAAAATGAAAATGAAATAATATTTTCCCTTGCCGAAAACGTGACCGAACCGAAACCAAACCGTATGTGTGTAAACGACTAATTGCTTTTGTGAACTCTGGACCCGAATGGAAACCGAACGAAACCGATTCGTGTCGAGGGGCTTTTCGGTTCTATCAGTTATCTATTAGGTACCGAACACACACCGTATCACCGTTTCACACTTTTCCGGCGGCTTCCGAAAACGAATCGAATACGCACCGAACCGAATCGAACCGTATAAGTGTGAAACGAGCCTTACGGCTACAGAACGAAGCTGTTGGTCGCACGAAACTCACGCAGTTCTTCGCGCTCAACGCGACCAACGTGGTGGCTCGACAATACTTGTACCAAGACATACCGATGCATTACACTTGGCAGCAAAATGTCAAACAATGGCGTCCGCGGGTGAATCGGATGACAAACGTTACATTGGCTCGGATGTACGTGGTGAACCCAATGGACCGGGACCGTTTCCACTTGAGATTGCTACTTCTGAACCGAAGAGGCCCGCAGTCCTTTCAAGACATAAGGACGGTGGACGGGGTCGTTCACGGAACCATACACGGCGGCTGCGATTGCACTCGGACTATTGGAAGACGACCTAGCGTGGCGGAATTGTTTGGATGAATCCGCGTTGGTGGACACGCCGCGGCAACTGCGGTATCTGTTCGTCACTATACTGGTGTTCTGCCTGCCTGCAGACCCGCTGGCGTTGCACAGTGGTCTGAAACGTCATTTTACGCGGCCAAAAGTCTATA